CGTAATCGTGTGGTGCAATGTCACGCTCACCCCCGATCTCGCGAGCTCCCAGGCGTGGGCAGAGTGCACCCACAGTTTATTCTGTGGTCCTCTGCCCCATTTTGTTCTGGGATCTTAATAGCTTTATTTCACTTGTGCCTGTTATTTGACTTTTTGCTCAAACGTCATTTCCTTATGATTTTAGATAAAGATTGGGTTTGGCTCACATCATCGCTACTGCAGTTCCCGAAGAGTATCAGCAATGTCCGAAAAATCTCCTCCTTTGTTTTCCTCGGAACCCCAGGATGGAACTGGAGGAAAACGGGGTTGTTTCTGTCAAACTTGGTTCAAATTTTGCTTTCTGCTTTTTTTTTTTTTTTCCAACGTGGCTCTCATTTTAGCCAATGCCAGCAACACGTAACAAAACCCGATCGAAACAATGAAAATCTTGCTGCCGATTTTTCACCCAGAGTTCGTGATTCATGGCAAATGGGAATGAAGCTAAGTCACCTCCAGACAGGCATTAAAATGAAAAGGTACAGGATGTCATTGGCCACACGTTGCGCATTCTCTTCATCCCACGCTGTACAATATTTCCAATCTTATTCAATAATTTAATATACATTTTCTTGTCAAGCTTCTTGGCAGCCGGCTTCTCCAGCTTGCAAGATGGACCGAGAATATGCCACAGGTGGGCTGATTAGCGGGTGGCATTTCTGAATCCTAACAAGCTGTTAGCATTATGTCTGTTTGCTTAGGTACAGATGTGAAATGATTTGACAGTAGATTTCAAAAGTGTGTGAGTACATTTTTGTATGTCAGACTATGGAAATATGTGGATTTCTTTTTTAAATTTCGCACATGGATGGTATGTATTGTACTTATTAATTTCAGAAAGTATATGCCACTGACACGGCACAAAAATTAAAAAGCAGTCTCCACACTGTATGAAGCGAACAGATTGAACAAACATCCCACCCCCAGTTAATCAGAAAGTCTTATCTCGCGCTTCAGAAAAAGTCAGAGGTTGGAAGAGCTCAGCCAGGAAGTAACAGTCTTTGAAAAGTTTGTTTTAATTGGTTTTACAGTGTGATGGTGATTTTTAAAAGGAGAAAAAAATAAAAAAAAAAAAAAAGCAAAAAGGAAAACAACGACCGCACGCAACAAATGGCGTGTGGAAGAGTTGCCAGTCACATTAAGTGACATCTGCCCTTGTCTAAAATTTCAAAGGTGATCTCAGGATTTATAAAGGGAAGTCGGCTTGGCATATGAAAAGGAAATTTAAAATAAATCTTAGAAATTTACATTTCGGTATATGCTTAAGGCTACGACACAGACTGGCAACCAGAAAGATGCCCCAAAGTTAGGGAGAGAACTGGATGGCATGAAGAGGTGATTCCAGGGAAAGCTGGGTGGGGTACAGAGGAGACGTTCCTCCCAAGAATGGGTCAGTCAGGGCACAGGAGGGCTTCTGGGGGGACCTCACCTTCTGGCATGTGGGGACAATTTTGTTTCCAGGTAAGGGAGAAGGATGGCCCCACTCTTCCCCAGAGCCGGCCACCTGTCCCAGTGCTCAGAGGATCCTGTGTCCCTGAAAATAGCCACGCCTGTGCCTCAGGACGACTCCCCAGGGCTCGCAGAGGGAAGGTGTCTGCTGGGCCCCAAAAGCGCCTCCATCCCCCGCTCCAGCGCCCAGGGAGGACCTCAGAATCCACATAGCAGGTGCGCAGGGCAGTCCCACCGCCCACCGGGGGCTCCGTCGGGAGGGACACCACGGATCATAAGAGGTGGGAAGCCCCCAGAATCTGGGGCCGGATTTCCCCAGGGCTCCGAGGTGCAGGTGGAGGCTGCGGGTTGGAAGTGCGGCCCCCGCGTCCACACGGGCGTGAGGGGCCAGCAGCAAGCGCCCAGCAGCATCAAGGAGGCAGGATTCTGTTTCCATCATCATCACCTAAGAGCTCGCAAGGCTCCGGGTGCCTGGGACCCTGCGCGCGTTGACGCGTGGACTCTTGACTGCGGCCCAGGTCATGAGCTCACTGTCTGTGGGCTGGAGCCCCACGTTGGGATCCGCGCCGACAATGCAGAGCCTCCTTGGGGTCTCTCTCCCTCTCGCTCTCTGCCCTTCCCCCTCTCAAAATAAATCCATAAACTTAAAAAAAGAGCTCTCAAGGATCCTAACCAGCAGCTCATAGGACGCTCTGATGTTAAGATGGAGCACCATGGCGGAGGGGGGGTCTTGTCATGCCCTTACAAGCGGTGCTGCGAGGGGGGCGGAAACGCAGGGCCCCCAGGTGAGGAGCCGCGCGTGAAGCTGGGCGCGGCCACGCAGGCGCAGGGCTCGCAGAACCGCCGGGCACGACCCCGAGCCGGGCACCTGTCCGAGGAGGCACTGGCCGGGGCTCCGGAGAAACCTGGAGCCCCCAGGTGACTCCGAACGTGCTGGGCGGCGCCCTGGAGGAGGCGAGCCACGCAGACCGCAGACCCGGGGACCCCCCTTCCCGGACCAAGTGCAGAGGGGGCAGCGGTGGCCGCGAGACCCCGAACATCGAGGGCTCGGTGCAGCCGGGTCAGCATGAAGGGGCCCTGGAAAGGCAGCAATGCGGAGAGCAGTGCGGGGCTCCCCAAAAGAGGCCGGCTGGGGAGGGCTCTTGACGCCATTGCAGAGACGGAAAGTATGTTCCAGGGCTGTCGTGGGACCACCGCTATGTTGTCCTTATATTCCTGTGGGAGAGCCTTCAAAATTCCACAGGACGGTCTTCTGGGGGGACTTTTGGAGCGCGGCTCACTTAAAACCTGGGGCCTGCGGGGGAATAGGAAACCGGCCAGAAACGTGGGTTCAAGCACTTTGAGCACAAAGTGGCTCTTTTGGCTTTCGCTGCGGTTGCCCCCAGTGCATACGCCTCCTCCCCTGCCACTAGGAGTGTGCTCCCTACTTCCTTCCATTTCAACATCAACAGGTTTAAAACCTGACGGTCATCCCAGCTCCTAAGCCTTGGAGATGACGCTTCCTTGTCCTTTTTTGTATTATCTTTGGCTAGTAACCTAATGTCTTGCCATCTTCTTCCACCTCAACTAGACCCAGTGCTGAAAAATAATGAGTAAAAGGGTATAAGAAGGAGGCCCTTGAGAACCCACCCAAGCGAGGATCTGTGTTGTTACCCCTTGCCCCCCGATGCCTGGGGCTTTTAAGTACTTCGTAAAGATCTGTTGAATATTAAAAGGGATTTTCACACTATATGTTAACTAACTTGGATTGAAATTTTAAACAAATAATAAAATAAATGTTAAGAGACAAGATTTTCGAAAGACACCTTCATCAGAAAAAGAAAGCGAATAACAAAGGGGAAAAAATGTTTTCAGTTTGCCCTTCGGGATACAATAACGCCAGTTATTGCCTCCTCCGTCTTGCAACCTATTCCCAAAATAGCACGTGCAGGAAGAATGTGACCCCATCCTCCAAGGGCAGGGAGCCCACAGAAGACCTGTCTGTTCTGGGTCAGCATCTTGGGAGGGGGGTCAGACACAGAAACCCCACCGAGTGTTATTCCTGGGGGATGGGCTTTGATGCCCCCCACCATCCAGGGACTCGGAGGGAGAAGTCAGTGTCCACAAACATGGCCTGACCTCCTGCGTTTGTCCAGCTGCTGCGGGCCGTTTCGGCCTCCCCGTCGGAGCCCAGCTGCTTCATGCCGCCCGGGCGGGCCTGACATCACCCACCCTCACGGTCAGCCTCTGAGACCCGGCAAGCTTTCTGAGGGGCCTGAAACTCACTGCTCCCCACCCCCAGTCTCACTGGACACAGTGCCTTTAAAGAGCCCAAGTCATGAAGTCGACACCAGTCTGCATTTATTTTCCGCACAAGGGGGAAAAATCTCACACACCACTGGTGTGTCTTGCCGAAGACCGACATTCATTGGAGTGATGCGTTCGGGAAGATGATGGATTTGCTCTGATCCATCTCTGCTCTCAGCTTGCCTGGTCCCCCCTGTGACCAATGGCAGGCGTTTGTGAGACAGCTGGCGGGGTGAGGGGTGCAGGCTGGGACTGTGCTAGCGCTCGCTGGCCTCTGCACGGATCAAAGACTCATTAGCATCCCGCTCTCACCAAATCAACTTATTGGCTCAGACAATCTGTATTGCTTTAAACCTTTGGACAGCTATAAAATTTATTTGTCAACCGGGCAGGGTCAGGATTCGATTTTTGACAAGTCCCATCCAAAGACCAAGCCGTACATCTAGCATATGCCGTCGTTTTAGCGTGTTCGGTTTTTGGGGGGAGGGCAAATGCAAATTAATCATTATTTCCCAAAGTACAAAAATAATAACTTCGGGTTATAAAATATGACAAATAGGCCACAAGAAAATGCAGGAAATATCTCACCTGGAAGACTTGGTGACAAACCACTCAAAATACGACTCCATGGTTTATGACGTTTTGAGAATTTCCTGAAAGATTTATAAGATTGTAGAATTTACACTGAGGCGGTGCGTGTTTCCCTGGCTACTGAATATCATTGTTTGGGTGGCTCCATGAGCAAAATGAAAGTTGAGAACTCAGAACATGTTGAGTTCTAATTTTTTTTTAATTTCTTAATATTTATTTATTTTTGAGAGACAGACAGCGAGCGAGTGTGCGAGCAGGGGAGGGGTGGAGAGAGAGGGAGACACAGAAGCCGAAGCAGGTTCCAAGCTCCAAGCTGTCAGCACAGAGCCCGACGCGGGGCTCAAGCCCATGAACCGCAAGGTCATGACCTGAGCTGAAGTTGGACGCTCAACTGACTGAGCCCCCCAGGCCCCCAAGTTCTAATTTAGGTTTTGCCACTGACTTACTGTGTGTCTGATAGGAGTCATGTTAGTCTTCTGTCTCCTACCCTTGCTAGAAATAAGATGGGAATTGCAAGTGTCCCTTATTCATCCTTTGGGTAAACTGTGGAAAGAGTAATAAAAAAGATGAAAGAGCCTCTTTATGAATATAAACATCAAGCTACAAGGTAATGGGAATTGCTTTTATTTAGAAGGGAAGCCTCACTGTTGGTGTGGAAAATTTTACATTTGGTCTCTGTAAGTGCGCCCGCCCTGACGGCTCTCTGTGTGGGCTGTCCGGTCTGCTGGATTTAGCAGAGGCACCAACCTTTCTGCTGTTCGTTTTCCTTTTAAGAATCCTTCATTATGTTATTGCCTGGAGGGAAGAGAAGACAGCAGCCCGTTTTCCAGTCGGAGCCTGGTGCTACCCGTGTGGTTCTCAGGTACTCAGCACAGGGAACCACGCAGGCTTTGTGGCTCCCACCCTGCACTGAGTCCCCAGTGGTCACCATGTCGCCGTGGCTCCAGGGGAAGCAAAATAGGACTGCTGTCCCTGGGCTCAGGTCTATCTGTCCTGCTCTTGGAGATGTCAAACCTGTGGTGACCAGACTCTTGGTTCTGTGGTGTCATACATAGTAACTGGGGAGGAGGGAAGAATAATCTCAGTTAGATCCCAAAAGGAAATCAAGGAAGCTATAGAGACAAAGAAAGAAAGAAAGAAAGAAAGAAAGAAAGAAAGAAAGAAAGAAAGAAAGAAAGAAAGAAGGAAGGAAGGAAGGAGGGAGGGAAGGAGGGAAGGAGGGAAGGAAGGGAGAGAAAGAAAAAGAAAGAAAGAGGGAGCGAGGAAAAGAGAAAGAAAGACAGACTGTAAAGAGCCTCCCGTTGCACGGAGCACGAGCAGGAAACAGCTGTTGAGGGGAAGGATAATGGATGGCTGGTCCAGTGAGCAGCGCAGAGGAGGTGGCTCTGCGGTCCTGGGCAGGGGCGAGGATGCTCCTGCCAGAGAGAAGGGAGTGCATTAGGGCAATCAATCAAGTCAGGAATTCCAACCATTGGGTGTGCAGTGAGGATTTGCTTCTCAGTGGGCTGCATTTTCTCACTCATAATTCTCTTCAGTGGAAAAGAGAGAAAAGAGAAACTTTAGGGCCATTTATATTATGAGCCAATTGGGGGTCACATGGAATTAAACACTGCCCATTTTGAAGCCGACCTCTAATGAAGGACCTTCTGCCTTTTCCTCTTTGCTAAGCATGCAATTAGGCCCTGAGATTCCTGGCCGTACTGTATACGCCAGGTAGGGGGAAATAGTTGTTTATGGACTTAAAATGGACTTTAAGATGAGAGGTGTTCACTCTATGGTCCTTAGGTATTTTCTGAGCCTACATCCTTCAGAGCCTACATCCTACCATTTTGTACAGCAACTCCCTGCTTCTCCTTTTATGCAAATTAAATAGTATATCTACAGGCAGATTAGGATTTTTAATAGTTTAGAATCTTTTGTTTGAGTATATATAGAGTTTTCAGATGTCTTTCCATGTATTTGTACTTATTTACATGAGGTTAAGTGCCTTGGAGACTAATAAGCCAGCCCATTTCTTAAAAACAAAATATGTAGAAGGCTTTTGAGTGAATAGTGTGCTTTCCCTTCCAGATTGAGCATGTTGTTAGTGTTGGGTTACGCTCCCCCCCCCATCCTATACATTTTCCTAAAAATAGTGTACCAAGAGCAAAGATGGCTTTCCATCATCTGCCAGGAATCAGTTACAGTAGTGTTAGGATTTGAAACTAGAGTCAGCAGAAGAGAAATCCCAAGGAAAAGGGAAATCACCTTAGGGATGCAGGAAAGCATCCCCTAACTGGTGTCTCTACCTTCATCTCCTGCGCTGGGTATTTCACAGTTAATGGAGAAGGGGAAGGACCTGGAGACGACGCGGTGCTCTAGGAGGTGGGATGGAAGGCTTTGCTGGGCGCCACCGGATGACGGCATCTTCTTGATGCTGATAGAGAGAGAAGGGTCATAGTCGTGCCAGGACAGTAGCAGCGGGGGGAGCTGCCACCCACACTGGCACATGCCATTTGACTCGGTGCCTAAAGAAAACAAAACAGAGCCATAGGAAAACAGAAGAATTCCATTAGCCGGAGCACACATCCTCTGGGAGAGGTGAGCAGGCTTCCACCTGCCAAAGTTCGTGAGTAATGAACGCAGTCCCAGAAAATTCATGGCTTCCACAGTTTTCAACCACCCTACAAGGTTTTTTCTATGCCTATCAGCAATTTTAAATGTATGCCTCTCTGTTGCAGACTCCGCTGCCATGCTGAATTGGCAGCTTGGAAAGCCGAATCGCCTCTTTCCTGGAGGGGCTGCTTTCCTCCGAGAGAAGAGCTGCATTGAACATTTAGTACTGAAAAGGAGAGGAAAGAGGAAAAGGCATAGAGTAAATAAGGGCTGCGGAGATGCAAAGAGATCAAAATTAAAATGCTGAAGTTGGTCTAGTGCAGAGCAAAGGAGTAGCTAACAGGCGGTAAGAATCCTACCTGCCTTTTTCAGGAGAGTTTCTTGGCTTTTTTTTTTTTTTTTTTAATGTGGGAAAGAGAAGGCAAGACATATAAAGAAAAAATTGGGGTACCTGGGTGGCTCAGTCGGTTAAGCATCCGACTTCGGCTTAGGTCATGATCTCCCGGTTCATGGGTTCGAGCCCTGCGTAAGGCTCTGTGCTGACAGCCAGCTCGGGGCCTGGAGCCTGCTTCAGATTCTGTGTCTCCCTCTCTCTCTGTCCTCCCCTGCTCATGCTGCCTCCCTCTCTCTCAAAAATAAATAAAACATTAAAAATTTTTTAAAAATCTCCAAGCACAGAAGAGAGTGACCATGGCACTAAGAAAAAATGAGAAGTACATGGCAGTCAGAGATTTAAGTACAAGAAACATCATGAGAAGGGTAATCTAGATACCCAAATGCAGAAACATGAGGGTCAAGCAACAAAAGGAATTTAAATCTCAATGAATCGAAATCATTTGACTGATGGGGTCATCTTCCAGTTACCTGAACTTGTGGATTATTCAAGGTTAACCTGAAACCCCTCACATGTCCCCGGAAGCACAGTTGAGGGAGCACAGTTTCCTATTTCCTTAAAGACTGAAGAATTCTTGTTAACATCAAGTCTCCGGGAACTTTAGCTCTTAGGTCTGGCTACAAACCCCTTCTCTTTAGTGGAGTGTGGTGTTTAAGAGCACGGCGTTGGGAGTCACAACAACTTGGTTCAGAAGCTAGCCCTGCTCCTTACCAGATGTAGAACTAGTTATAGAACCGGTTATAGTTTGGGCAAGCTGCTTCAAACTCATCTGCATAATGGGGATAATAACGGTACCTTGGATTGCCGTGGGGATTACATGAGATAATCCATGTAAATCACTTAGCACAGTGTCTGGGACGCAATAAGCACTCAATAAATCTCAGTTGTTCCGTTGCTGTTGCTGTTATGATCTCTATTGTGCACAAGGAGACACAGAAGATCTACCCATTAACCCACAGGTGTTTCCCACATCCTTTACTGCTATGATAAACTTGTTTTCTTGGAAGGCTCTGTTGTGTCTGTCTTTCAAATGGAATATATTGGGAGGCCAAGAAGAGAGTGAGGATTTGATTGGTTGAGGACCACAGAGAAGTAAGCTTTGTTGATATTTCCGACATGATGAATTCTAGTGGTTTTAAGCCCAAAACTCCACTTGTAAGCTTTCTGCCATTGTCTTCATCATAACATGGGAAATCCACTATCACTTTCTCTTTCATGTGTCCTGGTCCTGAGGTTCTAGTTTTAGAGATAACTCTCCTTGCCAATCATCTCAAGCAGAGCATGAAATTCTCAGATTAATTTTATTTCTTTTTATTTTTTTTAAATTTTTAATGTTTTCTTTCTTTCAGAGACAGAGAGAGAGAGAGAGACAGTGTGAGCAGGGGAAAGTCAGAGAGAGAGGGAGACACAGAATCTGAGGCAGGCTCCAGGCTCTGAGCTGTCAGCACAGAGCCCCATGCAGGGCTTGAACCCACAAACCGTGAGATCATGACCTGAGCCAGTCAGACATGTAACCGACTGAGCCAGCCAGGCGCCCCTCAGATTAATTTTAAAACACTGCTTAGCCTCAGTTGCTTTCTTGAAATAATACGAGGTAAATCAATAAACACACTCTAAAACACACTGTTTAGGGGCACCGGGGTGGCTTAATCGGTGGGGCGTCCGACTTCAGCTCAGGTCCTGATCTCATAGTTCGTGAGTTCGAGCCCCACGTCGGGCTCTGTGCTGACAGCTCTCTCTCTGCCCCTCCCCTGCTCACACTCTGTCTCTGTCTCTCTCTCCCTCTCTTTCAAAAATAAACATTAAAAAGAATTAAAACACACAGCTTAAGTTTTGCAGACCACCAACTTGGGGGCAGCTGCAAGGAAGCTGATTTGCCCGGGACCCTAGACTCCCCTCTGGTCACCGAGCAGAGGCACCTGGGAACAGGGGTTTGCACGTGGGGAATCCACAGGGCCAAAAAACCCAGACAGTGACCACGAAGTTTACTGATAGAATCAGAGACTTGGGTAAACTCCGTGTCAGCATTCGCGGGTTAGGAAACGGACTTCGCAGCCAAAACAGAAGCTGGGGGAAATCTGCTGGATGAGTCTTGGAAAATACCGATGTTTGCAGACTCCATAGTATGTTTCTTTTAGAAAATGGTATTTAACAGCCCAGAGACTTCTCACGTGACGTGGGGATCATGCACCATCTGAGCCTTTTAGGTGCATCTTCCTTCCCCAGGACCAACGATGCTTAGCAGCAAGGAATTGACAAAAATCACAGCCCAAGATGGCGTGACAGCAGCTTGATTAATAATGATTATCACAACAGATGGAAATCTGTAGACAAAACTTTCCATAGAATGAGTCTACCACAAAATCTCATGGTGAGAAAGAAGGATGCTTAGCTGCCACAGAATTATTCCTTACTTAACAGAATAAAGTTGCTGAATTTCTACCCACCCCTTTTGAGAATTTTCACAAATTTCCAGTGACTTCCATTTGAGATTCAGACCCCTCGGTGACATACGAAGCAGGCCGCTTCCTCTGAGGTGGTGCGATACTGCACAGGGCAGCAGAGGGTGTGTTCCTCCCTAAATGCACGGGGCGCATGTGTCCCCAAGCAAAAGGGACCGCACAGGTGTGTCCTCCTGAGCAGCTCACCTTTACGAGGGAGCGCACACGCCAGGCCCTCTGTGGCAGAGAGGAAGCGAGTTTTACACCCGCCACCAGAATGTATTTTTTGATCATTTGGGTTGGTTTGCTTCCTCCCTGCTTTTTGTTGTTTAATCTCGTTTACAGTGCAAATAGCCTCAGCAGACGCGAGCCGTTAATTCTGGAAAGCAAAGCCACTGTCTCTTTTTATTCCCTCCCTCTCCTCACAGCCCGGCTGGGCATGGAGTAGAAAGAGCCTGCCCCTCCTCCTTTTATCACCCCTGGAAGGAGAAGGGGCCCCCTGTCCCCTCACGTGTGCTGGAGGACACAGGGCCCCGGAGGCCCGCGAGGGCGGAAGGGCCTCTGCACACTGGCTGCAAGACAGCGAGTGGCAGGAGCCAAGACCGCAAAGAGGCAAGGGAAGGCTCATCTCTCAGATCCAAAGAGCCTTCCAGTGCTGGGCAGAGATGCCAGCCGGTGCCCGAGTCTTCAAACACTGCTCTGCTCTCCCTCTCCCCTACCAAGAGGAGCCCCCCTCGAGCAATTTTCTTAATTACCCTGCTCTTCTGAGCAGCTAGAAAGCCCCCTCGGCCCAACAGTCCACAGATTGACCAGATTCCTGTGGCGTCCACTCTTCAGAGGAGTAATCATACTACCGAACGCTCGGGGTCTCAGGTGGAGACGGAGGGGCTGGATCCGCTTTCCCGTGCCCACCTCTGTGCCCGGCCAGCGCGCCCTTGGACGAGTCACTCACCCTTGCTCACGGGTTTCCAGACTGTAAACCGTGAGCGAGGAATTCGCAAGTCTGTTGTGAGAAGGCACGAGATAACAAAAGTGAAAGCACTTTGTAAACTCTAAGGGCTGTGCAAACACAAGGCCTTTGTCTACGCCGAGAATGCATGGCCGAGTTTCCTTGGCAGGGACCAATGGGATTGAGGAGCGAGCGAGGAGTGGAGGCGCCCCTCCGGCTCGGGCCGTCCCCTCTGTGACCCGTGTCTGCATCCCTGGCCCATCGGCTGTGAGACTGTCAAAGCCAACCCTGTGAAAACAGGGCGCTGTGTATTTCCCATTGTCTAGGCGACGACGGTATGGTCACGATTGTGTGTCGTTTGGGATCAGGCCCTTCCTCTGCCCCTGGCTGGGCCTCACTGGGCAAGGCATCCAGCCTCACCAAGCCTCCCTTCCCTCAACCGGAAATGGGGTGATGAGTGGCTTGTCCTTCACAAGGCTCTAGGGATGTTAAATGACAGAATGCATGTTAAGCATTCGCCCCAGTGCCCGGCACACAGTCAAGGTCAATATGTGCTCCTGCCATGTTGGGGTCCAGAGCACACTCCCCAGCTGTTCTCTTTGTGAACACGGTAGGTGTTGGTAGCATTCAGCCATTCATTTGAGCCACTTTTTCAAGCTTCCCAAGATCTAGTTTGAATGCTACCCCCAAGGAAACCTTTCCACAGAGCCCCTGGGTGGCTCAGTGGGTTAAGCGTCTGACTTCAGCTCAGGTCACGATCTCGTGGTTTGGGAGTTCGAGCCCCGCATCAGGCTCTGTGCTGGCAGCTCAGAGCCTGGAGCTGCTTCAGATTCTGCGTCTCCCTCTCTCTCTCTGCCCTTCCCCTGCTCACACTCTGTCCCTGTCTCTCAAAAAAACAAAAAACCTTTCCTAACACCGTCCCAACCCCGCTCCCCAGGTTAAACTAATCCAAGGGTCAGGGTCAGCACCAGCTCTGTGGACACAGGACATGTGCAGTCAAAAGGGCCCCGTGCTCACAGAGGCCCTCACCTGGTTTGATGCTCTGTGGCTGCTCTAGTAGAACAAGGGACTCTGCATTTTCATTTTGCCCTGCACCTTGTCAGTTATGTAGCTGGTTCTGGGTCTAATGCTTTGCCTCAATTCTGCCTTGTAAATTTTATAGTTTGTTGTTAACATGCTTTTTGGAATACACGGTCAGTCCTCATTATTCACGGATTCCGTATTGTGCTTTTTCTTGCTGACCTTACTGTTACAATGGTCACAGGCAGGGTGCTTGAGGTGCTGTACAGGGTTCCCAAGTGCAAGAAGGGGGTGGCGTGCTTCACAGAGAGAGTACGCATCAGACAGGCTTGGTGTGGGATGAGTTACAGCACGGCTGGCAGTGAGTGCAATGTTAACGAATCAATAATATATACTAAGTAAGGTGCCCTGAGAGAGAAACACACATAAAACAAGGTTATGTATTGATTGATGAATGAAAATCCTGTGACCAGAGACTCACAGGAACCTCACAGTGTAGGTTTCCAGGAGGAACAGCTCAGTACTCACCACGTTCAGTGTTTGTGCCCTAGTGATGGTGCGTAACCACTGCTGAGAACAAAGTTGCCTGTAATGCCCTTAAGGGCAACGTTTTGTTGTTTTTTATTTTTTAAGTTTATTCATTTTGAGAGGGACAGAGAGAGTGAGTAGGGGAGGGGCAGAGAGAGAGAGAGAAAGAGAGAGAGGGAGAATCCCAAGCAGGCTCTGCGCTGTGAGTGCAAAGCCCAACGAGGGACTTGAACTCACAAGATGCAAGATCATGACCTGAGCTGAAACCAAGGGTTGGACACTTAACCGACTGAGCCATCCAGGTGCCCCAGTGTCCATGTTTTATATGTGTTTTTGCATGTTCCTCAATGTCATGTCTGCCCCTCCACCCAGTCCCTAGGAAAGTGCCACAGACATGCTGGTACGCCAAAAAATTAACTACATGAAGTTATGATTCTGACTTTGAAGAAGCATTAACACCTGACTGTTGCTTCTCAGATTATACTGCTTGTTCCCTATAGAATCCAAGTCCCCTTGTGATATTGTTTATATGAAAAACTGTTCCACATAGAAAAAGTTGTAGATTACTGTCAATTTTTTCCAAGGTGAAATGAAAAGCAGAAAACAAAGTAATGAATGGTTGTGGACCCATATACCTAAATTCTTCATGATCCTCAGGCAAAGTGCTGAAGACCTAGATGTGACTTTTTAAAAGTTTATTTATTTATTTTGAGAGAGAGAGACAGAGCACATGAGCATGAGGGGCAGGGGAGAGAATCCCAAGCAGCCTTTGCACTGTCAGCACAGAGCCCAAGGTGGGGCTCAATCTCACAAACCATAAGATCATGACCTAAGCTGAAATCAAGAGTGATGCTTAGCCAACTGAGACGTGACATTTGTTAAGAAGAAAGATGTCACAGGGGCGCCTGGGTGGCTCAGTCGGTTAACCATCCAACTTTGGCTCTGGTCATGATCTCACGGTTTGTGGGTTCGAGCCCCGCCTTGGGCTTTGTGCTGACAGCCAGCTCAGAGCCTGGAGCCTGTTTCGGATTCTGTGTCTCCCTCTCTCTCTGACCCTCTCCTGCTCATGCTGTCTCTCTCTCTCTCTCTCTCAAAAATAAATAAAACATTAAAAGAAATTTTTTTAAAAAAGAAGAAAGAAGTCACAGAGTTCTAAAGGGATGTGTAGCAAACTGAGGGGTCTGTGTTTTGGGGAAAATTATTTTAGATACAGGAGAGATTTCTACGTTAAGTCCCTAATAACTGACCCATATATAAGAAGTAAGCTAGAATGCAGAGGCTGACACGAAGTGTCACCCATTCCTTGAGACAGGAAAGATTTCTAGAATCAGTGATTTACTCATCACCTGTTTAAAGCAGGCAGGGTACTGGATCCCAGGCTAGAAGTGCCCTAGAGTCTGCAAAATGCAAGAGTGGATGAAATAATTTGCCCAGTTATCAATAGGATGATGGTGATGTCCATTCTATCATAGATGAACCTGTCCCCAAACTGAAGAACATGCATTTTCTATTGGCTAAATCCAAAATCTTCTGTTGAGATCATGATCCTCCTGGGGAGGAAAAGAATTTGACTTAGTCACTTTATGCCTGGCATTTGAGGAATGGTGTGTACCAGAAGGGGTCAAAAGGAGTGAGCACCAGGCCCCAGGATGCAATCACCAGTTCTACTCCTTCCCATCATTCACTTCCATGCTTTCGGCTCTTGGCCCCTGGCTGCCTGCTCCACTCTTTGTCTTCCCTCTGCCTTTCCTTCCACAGAGGCGTGTCCCTAGCTAGATGGGGTGCTTCAAAGTGACTTCCTTCAAAAGTAATTGGTACAGACCACTAAGTAAACCAGTAAGCCTGGGGCAGTCCTGTCCACAAGAAAGGGGTGGTTCAGATTTGATGGGCAACCCATTAATGAAATAAGGGTAAAAGCATCTTGGGTAATGAAGAAACTATTGAGATGTCCTCACAGCCGGTGAGTAGACACTGTTAGACATTATGTCTTTCAAGAAGAAAAATTAAAAGATCTTCACCACCCTGGATGACCTGTTTCTTTGGCTTTGGCTCATAAATGGCAATAAGGTTACATGGATTTAAAGGCAAGTGAGAAAGAGGAGGGTCCAGCTGAAGAGCAGAGTGGTCCAAAAGGCTCAGAAGGAAGCCGTGGAAACACAAACAGCACCCTTGGGTCGGGGTATAGAGGGTGAGGTTGAACATGAGAGAAGAGGGAATGAAGCCTGAAGCTTTCAATCGAGTCACCTGATTAAAGCCCGTGAATTCAAGGAGAAGGAGTATGTGCCCAAGCAGGTAGTGGCGTCCACCTCGTTTCTTCCCGCAGGGCAATGATGTGCTTAGAACTGCAACTAGAAAATTCATGGCTCCTGGGTGGCTCAATCCATTAGGCGTCCAGCTCTTGCTTTTGGCTCAGATCATGATCTAGTGGTTTCATGAGTTCAAGCCCTGCATCAGGCTCGGCACTGGCCGTGTGGAGCCTGCTTTGGCTTCTCTGTCTCCTCTCTCTCTGAACCTTCTTGCACTGTCTCTGTCTCTCTCAAAATAAGTAAACTTTAAAAAAATAATAAAAAGAAAATGCATGAAGAGTGGTACATAGATGGTTGTAGGGAAGCAGGGAGCAGGCTTTGGTGACAGCAGACGTCAGGGAAAGAAGGACCTGGAGTGTAGTTCCAGTGTGAGTGGCTTGGAGAAGACAGGCTGTGGCCCTGGAAAGTGATTTGGGGGGGTGGGGCAGGGGGTGCACAGGGAGAATGGGGATTCAGAGATGGGGATCTTGAGCCCCAGTGACTAGGAAGCAGAAGTGTTTGGTGAGTGAGGTGGATAGAAAGTTTTGGCACTTGGTGTTTAAGATGCTGGAAGCAATTGAAAATTGGCAGAACCTACTATGACTTCACCCGAATTACATTTCAGATATTAATGCACCAACTGTTCCAACGTTGTTTCTTTGTTACCTACCAATACTTCTCCCAGGAAAGTGTGTCCGGACTTGATTTCTCAGACATGGGGCAGTCTAAGCAGACAGTTACACTGGGATGCTCCCCCCAAAAGACTCTGAGTGGAGGCTGTAACATCTTTAGACTTCAAGTTACCTGTGGAATTAGTAAAATCTGTATCTTATCCTTTTTGCCTCTCTCTTCCTCCCCCAGTCTCATCCCTTCAATTACACACACACACACACACACACACACACACACGCACACAGTATTGAGCTTCTAGCAGTCAACTGTTAGCATCTGTGAAAGATAGATGCAGAGGTGAATAAGATACAGTGTTATCTTAATTTTTTAATGTTCATTTATTTTTGAGAGGGAGAGCATGAGCAGGATAGGGGCAGAGAGAGAGGGAGACAGAGGATCTCAGTCAGCTTTGTGCTGACAGCTGCGAAGCCAATGTGGGGCTCAAATTCACAGATCCAGGTGTCTGACACTCTGCTATCTTCAAAGGAGGGTACAATCTGGTGACAGCGCTAATGGTTGGCTACGTTTGTGCTTGTTGAACACCCACTGCCCACTGAAC